TATGTGTCAACACATAAACAATAAAAAATAATAAAAACAATGTGTCAACAATATAAACAATAAAAAATAATAAAAACAATGTGTCAACAATATAAACAATAAAAAATAATAAAAACAATGTGTCAACAATATAAACAATAAAAAATAATAAAAATAATGTGTCAACAACATAAACAATAAAAAATAATAAAAACAATGTGTCAACAATATAAACAATAAAAAATAATAAAAACAATGTGTCAACAATATAAACAATAAAAAATAATAAAAACAATGTGTCAACAATATAAACAATAAAAAATAATAAAAACAATGTGTCAACAATATAAACAATAAAAAATAATAAAAACAGGATTATAGTGATAATGTGAACATTTTAAATTTTACGAGGTTCAATCCAGTTTTATGAAAACCAAAAAATCAATTTCAATGGTCAAGACAACTGTTCTGTCGAACCATTAAAAGTGATTTGAATTTATTTTCATGACCCTTATATCCTTCAGAGTAGCTAACTTCCATCCAAGAACTTGAATGAAACCCAGAAACTATATGAACATTGATAAAACAGTATATATTTATAACCAGGTCTGTATAATTGAAAGGAATGTTTGGTGTATCAAGACTGATTTTAACAGCTTTTGGATAAGCATCCCTTCTGGACCATTTTCAAATCTTGTATGTTTTCAATATAACCCTTAACATCCCTCAGGATAGCTTAATAATAATACAGATTCTTTTTCTTTTATTAATACTTTAGACCATCCAGGTTGTCTCATATAGAGACCAGAACATCCAGGTTGTCTCATATAGAGACCAGAACATCCAGGTTGTCTCATATAGAGACCAGAACATCCAGGTTGTCTCATATAGAGACCAGAACATCCAGGTTGTCTCATATAGAGACCAGAACATCCAGGTTGTCTCATATAGAGACCAGAACATCCAGGTTGTCTCATATAGAGACCAGAACATTCAGGTTGTCTCATATAGAGACCAGAACATCCAGGTTGTCTCATATAGAGACCAGAACATCCAGGTTGTCTCATATAGAGACCAGAACATCCAGGTTGTCTCATATAGAGACCAGAACATCCAGGTTGTCTCATATAGAGACCAGAACATCCAGGTTGTCTCATATAGAGACCAGAACATCCAGGTTGTCTCATATAGAGACCAGAACATCCAGGTTGTCTCATATAGAGACCAGAACATCCAGGTTGTCACATATAGAGACCAGAACATCCAGGTTGTCACATATAGAGACCAGAACATCCAGGTTGTCTCATATAGAGACCAGAACATCCAGGTTGTCACATATAGAGACCAGAACATCCAGGTTGTCTCATATAGAGACCAGAACATCCAGGTTGTCTCATATAGAGACCAGAACATCCAGGTTGTCTCATATAGAGACCAGAACAT